CGCACGTGCGGTTCTGGGTGTTCCAGAACCGAATTTTGCCCTGTTTTTCTGCACTTCATCCTCTAAATCTCAAACCCAAATCCAACCAGATGAAGGCCACAAATTAACGAACATAGTGTATAAACAAGATTCAAACTCAAATTAAGGCTTGAATTTAGCTTTGATTTCCATAATTTCATTAACACCTTCATAAGTAAAAAAAAAACAAGGATTTATGCTTATGTTAATTCTATGCTTCTACAAACCATGGAAATCTAGGTTAAAACCATGCAAGATCATGTAAATGAGCTTAAGTAATGGTATGTGGACAAGGAAGTGGAAGAGTTCCTCTTGTTAGGTTTACAACATGACTTATACTACCCAACTCCTCACTCTCACCCTCAACCTTATGAGTTCAAACTAGAATTTCATCTTCATGCAAGAAATTAGGGAGAATCCTTACCTGGATGAGTTGATCTAGTGAAATTGTTTCAAGCTTTCTTCCCTTCTCCTTCTTTCCTCTTCTTCTCTAGCCTCCTCTTAAACTCTAACTCTCATATTCTCTCTCTCCTATTGAGTTCCAGATAGTAATATATAAAACATCCCAAGTCTTTAACTTAGATTAACTACATAAAAGTCACTTTAGTTAAATTACCTAGTTAATCACACTACCATCTATCTTACTTTAAGGTGAACCAACCCCACTCACTTAGTCCACCACCCAATTTTATAACTCTACAGTCTAACGAATCAGACAAGTCTTTTCACAAAGGAACATATCTGTTAACAGACACAATGCTTATAAATATACATATAAGGCTCGAATAAATGCATAATCCAGATTAAGCATAAAAGTAATCGTAAAAACAACAGCTAAGGAGAAAGGCGGGTGTTACAAAAATAAAGTGCAAAAACTTTATAGAGAAACAAAACCCTAGTGGACTATTGCAACCACAATTCTATTTTAATTTGAAGATTCCTTCATCTCATTCGAAAGTGTGTCAGTTGGAATAGGTGAGTTTTGCTTTAGTCTAGAACGATGATTTAAACATTGTAAAAATTCCATTGAGATGTTTGAACATGGTGAGATTTGTCTTGAAGGATTGCTGAGTTCTTGGTGATCTTAGTGGTTTGAATCTTCTGTGACTGACAGTGAGGATTGGTCCTTGGGTTAACTCTCATTCATATAAATTTAGGACACATGCGTTAATCGATTGCTCACCTTCATTGGAGTTGACGTGGCTAGTGAAGAACAGGAAACTAAATGTGAAGATCAACAACACAAATGAGTTTAAGGATCAACTTCAAAATTGTTTATAGTATTTTTCTGAGTTTTGGTTTTCCATATATAATCTTGTTTGTTTTCTCTCTCTTTGTGATTGGTTGCATAATCCAGAATACCAGAATATTTGTGAACACACATGCTTTCAAAAAATTAAAAAAAAAATTACAATTACACAAAACAATGGTGAACATGAAATAGAGCACAATCTAGAATACCAGAATACCAGAGCATAATCCAAAAATTACAATACAACAACCCATGTCCCAATCCAGAATACCAGAGCACAATCAAAAACACAATCAAGAAACAGAGAGAGAGAGAGAGAGAGAGAGTCGGTGAAGGTGTATCTACTTTGTATAAGCTTCTTGAATCAGAGGCTTCTCGCCGTCTTGAATCAAAGCTTCTTGCCATCATCAGGAATAGGTCGTCGGTGAGTGTGGGTCGCTGGTGAAGGTGGGTCGCTGGTAAGGGTGGAGGAGAGGAGGAGAAGGGGGCTGAGTGAGAATGAGAGAGTGCAAAAAAGCTGTATAAGCTGTTGCTGGTTTGGGCGGGAAACCAAATTCAATTTGTTTTTAATTTTTATTTTTTTTATAGCCGTTGGATCTGCAATGGCTGATCTCAGCAGTTGCAAGGAGGAAATAAAGGAGATGTAGCAAGGAGGGGATCCAGACTCCATATACTTAACTATAACAAAATATCAAATCATCTCAACTTCCAATACTCCAAAACTATTTTCATAATATACAACCAAACAAACCAAAAAAAAATTTAGGCTCTTTTTGGTGGAACTTTCAAAATATAGTTTCATTCCCATTTTTTAGTGTGGTATTTGTTTAGCGTTTTCAAAAATTAATTCCACACTCACTTTTGAAAACTCTTTCCAAGGAAAATTTGAGCTAACCAGTTGTCCCACCGGACGTCTCACCTGTCATCCGACCGGTTGACCGGAACAATGTTCGGGTTTTTTTTTTTTTTTTTGCACCCGTTATTTTTATATTACAAAAAAAAAAGTTGTGAAAATTTTTTAAAATTTTTTATGTGTTTTGAATAGAATTTTGGGTTGTGTATTTGGTTATGAGTCGTAAGTTTTTGTATCTGACATGGGTATGCCCATAAAGGTTACAGCCCACCATGAACAACTCAAGCCCATCATTTAGGGCCCAATACATAACCCAACTTATAAGGCCCAGTACAGCTGGAAGTCAACAGGACATGAAGGACCAATGATATTCAGACACGTTGCAGGTAAAGGGCAAGCCACATCAGCAGACAAAAATTTGCAAAGTTATTGTCACTGCACATCACCATTAATGCAGCCCCTCACAGCATTTATTACGACAACACCTCTCCGTCGGGACAGCACGCCCTCACCCTGAACAAGGTAAACTACAGCATAGACTTTTGGCCAAGGTGACAGGTCGGACGGGACAATGAAATGATTACCAAAGGATATAAGCAAACTTTGAAGACAAGAAGAAGGTTAAGTTTTTCTATCTCTGATCCATATCTCTACATTCCATTTCTCTCTCTAACTTGCTCATCGGAGGGTTCGCTGGGGGACACCCCGTTCCCCGTTGAACTCTTGTGCAGGTTCTCAGGTGGGCTTGACCACTCGGTTATTGGCTCGAGAAGCGTGGATCAGTCTGACCCGTTCTACCAGGAACCCGTTATATCATAACTGTATCATCAGTTGGCGCTATCTGTGGGAACGCTTTGCTCCGCGCGCCAGTTGTGCTCATTGTCGCCGGAGACCCTGTTCCAATAACCTTTTCCTGCTACCCACCAATGTGTATGGTCACGACTAGATCCATGGCTTCTCACCAAAATGCTGCCGACCATCAAGCCGACTCCTCTAATCCAAATAACCCACCACAGTATTTCATCGAGCTTACCAACAACATCAACCGCATGGCCGAGCAAAACTAAGCCCTGATAAATGCTCTACTCCAAAGGGACCTTCCTATGCCTCCTCCACAACCTCCAGATATTCCGCCCAACCAAGAACGAGCCTTGAGCCATACTATCCCGTAGCCCTATCCACCCAACTTGGAAGGCCTGCAACCTCCTCTTCTCATATAAATCCACCACCTCGATCCCTGCATCCATCGGTCCTGGCACCAATCCCTGAGGGGGAAGCCAGTAGCGTCCAATCCCCGTTCCCTTCCGGTGGTGATAACATCCCTCTCTAGGATGCAGAACTCCGAGCTATGAAGCTCCAACTCCAACGGGTCATGCAGAACATCCAGCATAAACCCTCTACCACAGCAAACTCACCATTTGTTGCCTCCATCCGAGACAAACCTTTACCCCTCAAGTTCAAAATGCCCACCATCGACTCTTTTGACGGCACGACGGACCTAGTCGACCATCTGGAGACCTACAGAACCCTCATGATCCTCTATGCATTCCCTGACGAGATCATGTGTTGAGCTTTTCCCGTGACACTGAAGGGGTCAGCTCGACTGTGGTTTAGCCAGTTATCAACAGACTCCGTCTCCACTTTTCAGCACCTCAGTGACTCATTTCTCAGCCATTTTATTGGAGCCCAGTGCCAGCGACGCTCGGCAACCCAACTCCTCAACATTCGGCAGACTGAGGGGGAGTCGTTATGCAGTTTCGTTACCCGCTTCAACACCGAAGCCCTGTAAGTAGCGAAAAATGATGACAAGGTCATCCTCACTGCTTTCATGGCCGGTTTGCGGTTGTCCGACTTCCTGTTCTCCCTTTCTAAAAACCCCCCAACCTCTATGGCAACCCTACTCTCCAAAGCCCAAAAATACATGAATGCTGAGGATTCCCTAGCCACCCGGCAAGATCCAATAACCAAAAACCCGACCCCCAGAGAAAAGAGAAAAGACTCAGAACCCAGAAACATCCAGTATAATAGCCAAACACCGCACTATACCGACCAACCCCTCGAGCTGACCGGTCGGCACCAGCCCGACCACCCGATCGGTTCGAGCGGTACACACCCCTTAATTCCCCCATAGAACAAGTTCTCAATCAGATCCAGCAGGACTAACCCCTCAAATGGTCCCAACCTTCACGAGCCGCTTCCAATCGGAAAGACCAATCCAAATATTGTCGTTTTCACCAGGACCATGGCCATAACACCGATGAGTGCATTAACCTCAAAGATCAAGTCGAGACCCTAATACGTTAGGAACGTCTTAGCCGGTTCACGGACACCCGCCCTCGACAGAGGCAAAGAACTGAGCCCCCTAGAAACAACCACCGACGCAGCCCCTCCGGCAGCCTGCCCAACCTAACTCCCTTCCGGTGGTGATAACATCCCTCTCTAGGATGCAGAACTCCGAGCCATGAAGCTCCAACTCCAACGGGTCATGCAGAACATCCAGCATAAACCCTCTACCACAGCAAACTCACCATTTGTTGCCTCCATCCGAGACAAACCTTTACCCCTCAAGTTCAAAATGCCCACCATCGACTCTTTTGACGGCACGACGGACCCAGTCGACCATCTGGAGACCTACAGAACCCTCATGATCCTCTATGCATTCCCTGACGAGATCATGTGTTGAGCTTTCCCCGTGACACTGAAGGGGTCAGCTCGACTGTGGTTTAGCCAGTTACCAACAGACTCCGTCTCCACTTTTCAGCACCTCAGTGACTCATTTCTCAGCCATTTTATTGGAGCCCAGTGCCAGCGACACCCGGCAACCCAACTCCTCAACATTCGGCAGATCGAGGGGGAGTCGTTATGCAATTTCATTACCCGCTTCAACACCGAAGCCCTGTAAGTAGCGAAAAATGATGACAAGGTCATCCTCACTGCTTTCATGGCCGGTCTGCGGTTGTCCGACTTCCTGTTCTCCCTTTCTAAAAACCCCCCAACCTCTATGGCAACCCTACTCTCCAAAGCCCAAAAATACATGAATGCTGAGGATTCCCTAGCCGCCCGGCAAGATCCAATAACCAAAAACCCGACCCCCAGAGAAAAGAGAAAAGACTCAGAACCCAGAAACATCCAGTATAATAGCCAAACACCGCACTATACCGACCAACCCCTCGAGATGACCGGTCGGCACCAGCCCGACCACCCGATCGGTTCGAGCGGTACACACCCCTTAATTCCCCCGTTGAACAAGTTCTCAATCAGATCCAGCGGGACTAACTCCTCAAATGGCCCCAACCTTTACGAGCCCCTTCCAATCGGAAAGACCAATCCAAATATTGTCATTTTCACCAGGACCATGGCCATAACACCGATGAGTGCATTAACCTCAAAGATCAGGTCGAGACCCTAATACGTCAGGAACGTCTTAGCCGGTTCACGGACACCCGCCCTCGACAGAGGCAAAGAACTGAGCCCCCTAGCGGCGCAGCCCCGCCGGCAGCCAGCCCAACCTAACCAAGGCCATGATCACCCTCCACAGCAACCTCGGCCGCCAGGCAATCCCCCTTCACCTGTTGGAGAAATCAGAGTCATTTTAGGCAGCCTTGCTTGTGAGGGACCATCCCGCTCGGCTTAGAGAGCAGAACTCAGAAAGATAAGGCAAGGCTCAGACAAAGTAGTTGCCACGATCGACTGACCCTCCAAACAGCCCAAGCAGTGGACCGAGCCTATCACCTTCATGGACACCGACTGTACAGGCATCCGTTATCCTCATGATGACCCTCTCGTCATTTCTGCCCTCCTCTCCAACTACAAGGTCAGACGAGTTCTCATCGACAACGGCAGTTCTTTAGACATCATCTTTCTCAACTGCTTTCGCTAGCTCAAAATTAGGGAGGAAAGTCTGTCTCCTCTCTGAACCCCTTTGGTCGGTTTCACTGGCGACCGGGTGACTTCCATCGGCTCCATCGATCTCTCCATCACAATCGGCGAGTACCCACAGCAGACTACAAAGTTGCTCACCTTCCTTGTTGTCGACTGCCCATTCGCCTACAATATCATCCTTGGCCGCACCGCCCTAAATGCCTTTCAAGCCATCACATCAACTTATCACCTTGCCATTAAGTTTCCCACCGATCTGGGGGTCGGGACTATAAGGGGAGAACAGATCGTGGCCAGGGAATGCTATGTCGCCTTACTCAAAGAAATCAAGCTGAAAGAGACAATGATCATTGAGAGACTTGACGTCCAGGATGAGGACGAGCTAGTCAGAGGGGAACCTGTGGAGGAGCTCGTTGAGGTTCCCATCGACCTCACCAACCTGGCAAAAACTAGCAAAATCAACAGCCAACTATCCCCCCAAGCAAAGGCCGACCTTACTGCCCCCCTGATTGAGCACAACGATGTATTCGCCTGGACCCACTCAGATATGCCGGGTATTGACCCCTCATTCATAACCCATCACCTCAGCATTGAACCCCATTTCCGACCTTACCGCCAGAAGCAGCGCATTTTCTATCTGGAGCGCAATACTCTCATTGCCGCAGAGGTCGATAAGCTCCTTGAGGCACAATTCATCAAAAACGTGGACTAACCTAGATGGTTGTCAAACGTGGTCCTGGTCCGCAAGAACAATGGTAAATGGCGACTCTGTGTCGACTACTCAGACCTCAACCGAGCTTTCCCCAAAGACAATTATCCTCTTCCCCGCATAGATCTGCTGGTTGACGCCACGGTCGGTCACCAAATGCTCAGCTTCATGGATGCCTTCTCTGGGTATAACCAAATACTGATGCACCCATCTTGTCACAACCCAAACTCGCCCCTATGGGTTTAGCATCGTAACCGGCCAGTAATCTGTGATTACCGAAGGCCTGCTTAACAGTCAAACAATAATACAGAGTACAAGGGCATGGCGGAAGCCAAAACAGTAAATAGACAATGTCCAATGAGCTGTGATAGTCTGTATACAAAAAGACTTTTTACATAGATTCACATTCAGAAACAAAACAGTATGTACAATATATACAATCATTCAAGACAGGGACTTAATCCCTATTACAATAGTACAGTACAGTAACATTCAATCTATAAAGATTATAAGCAAAAAGGGAAAATCTAAAACTCCCCAAGCAGCCTCAGCTTGAACAGATCAGGAATCTCGAAGTGAGGCACAAAGGTTGGCTTGACAAAACTGAAGTTTACCCTGATGCTTCTAGCAATGGTCCGGTGCCTGTACACCTACATATATATATGGGTAGTGAGCTAAAGCCCAGTAAATAACATAATGCGTAAAGAGGTTCCTTTCAGTATTGAAAACAGTCAATTGATTCAGTGTATCAGTCATTCAGTCATAACAGTCATATGTGGTACATCCATTAGCAGAACAATACAGTAAACAGTAGACCTTGAAAGACCGAACAGACAATGATGGTCATCATAACAGTAAACAGAAGTTCCAAAATAGGAACTAACAGAGATCTCTGTAACAGTAGCAGTAACAGTAACAGTAGTTGCTAAGGATGCCACAATACAGTTCAGAATAGAGGACAAACATTCATTCAGTTAACAGTAAACAGTTTAGAAAACATTTCAATTGATCATTCAAAAAATATTCATTTTCGAACATATCTTTACAACATTGTTACTCGTAGAGTTCTGGGCTACAGATAAGCTAGTACGCGTCCTCGGATGCCAACCCTACACAGTTACAGAATGAACACACACTAAGCTACGCAGTTGGGAAACAATAACTTAATCCCTATCTTGACTCAGTGTGGTTCTACATCAATATCCTCATTAAGATGCCTTAAACTAGGCCTAAGAATGCCTAGAATGGAATGAGGATGCAAAGATGCACTTTAATTTTTTTTTCAGAAAACAGAGTTCCCGCTCGAGCGTCACTTACCCTGCTCGAGCGGATATGCAAACAAAAGTCTCCGCTCGAGCATAAGCTTTCCCGCTCGAGTGGACTGCAAAAGTACTGGATGTGTGAAAATTACGCTCGATTGAGCGCTCGATACCCGCTCGAGCGTGTGACACAAGTCCTCGCTCGAGCGCCCAATACCCCACTCGAGCGGACTGTAAAACAGTGTAAAGAAATGGAAACACGTTTTTCCCGCTCGAGCGCCAGTAACCCCGCTCGAGTGGAAGTCCAAATTCTGGAAATTCCAAATTCGAACCTCAAGCTCAAAACCAAGTTTCAATGTACCAAATTCGATCATTTTGGGCTAATTTTCTGGAAAGCACTTCAAAACCCATAGTATAACATGTTTCAAAGATCAATTTGAGAAATCAAAGCCCAAAGGTAGTTCAATTAAATCCAATTTCAAACCAATTTTCATGAACATAACTCAAACATGACATGCATGAGTTTAAACCAATTCAAAGCTTCAATTACATGCTCTAATGAGCCAATTTCTTCCAAAACATGGTAAAATCATGAACTATGATCAAAAGATGAACATGCACGAAGCAATCTCATGAACAATAATTTCAAAACTCAAGAATGGCAATATGCATGCATGATTTGAGCTACAATTCAATATGCTAAAACCAATTCATGACTTAGCTCTTCAATATGACATGAACCATGCAAGAACCAACTTAAAGACGCAATTAAGAGGTTGAATTCCTTACCTAAGTCTTCAATTTAAGGTATGGAGGTTCTATTTTTGCAATCTTCCTACAATTTCTCCAAGTCTCCAAGCAAATATGAGATGAAATCAAGCTCTTTCTCCTATCACTCTCTCTAGTTGGCTATAGCAAGGAAAACAAATGGCTGAGCAAATGTGTGTCTAAGTGTAATCAAGTCTCAATATGTTTGGTGTAGTGGCCCACTAAGATGGCATGTTGGTAATTAAGCCAACTATTGTAATTTATCCTTATTTAATTTAATTAAATCATACCAAATCATATTTCAATTAAATACACCATAAAATCACATAAATTATGATTAACATATATCACTAATCAATTTCAGATTCGGCCGCTGATAAGGCCTTCAATTTGCAGTTTAAAGCATAAAACATGAACAGATAATTTAACAGTCAACAGATAGATATGCATTCAAACTAGCACAATCAATCAATCAGTTTAGTGATTTCAGTTAATTCAGTCAATTATCATAATCAGTCTCAGTTTAACAGTGGTCAGTGGTTTATCAGTAAACAGTGGTGAGGATTGTCACACATCTGATCGGGAACACACCTCATTCATTACCGACCGAGGCACCTACCATTACCGTGTGATGCCATTTGGATTGAAAAATGCTGGGGCCACCTACCAACGGTTAGTCAACGCCATTTTCTATCATCAGATCAGTTGAAAGATGGAAGTATATGTCGACGACATGCTAGTCAAGAGCAAACTTGTCGCTAACCATCTGACCGACCTGCGAGAGACCTTCGCCATCCTATGGAAGTACCAAATGAAGCTCAACCCGGAGAAGTGCGCCTTCGGCGTAGGATCTGGGAAGTTCTTGGGTTTCATGGTCAGTCAGCGGGGCATTGAAGCTAACCCTGAAAAGATCAAGGCCTTGATTGAAATGCAGTCATCCAGAACGTTTAAGGAAGTTCAAAGACTCACTAGCCGAGTTATCGCCCTCAACCGCTTCATTTCCCGTGCAACGGATAAGTGCCTCTCCTTCTTCAAAGTTCTTCGGTAAACTTTTGAATGGACGACCGAGTCCGAAGAGGCCTTTCAGCAGTTGAAGCAGTGCATGGCCAACCCTCCCTCTTTTCTCAGGCAATCATTGGCGAACCCATCTTCCTCTACTTAGCCGTTTCAAGCACCGCAGTTAGTGCAGCTCTTATCAAGGAAGACGACTCTGTTCAACGGCCGGTCTACTACATTAGTCGGGCCCTCAAGGGCGTCGAGCAGAATTACCCACTGTTAGAAAAATTGTCCTTGGCCTTGGTCACTGCCTCCAAACGACTCCGTCCTTACTTCCAAGCCCATTCCATAGTGGTCCTCACCGACCAACCTTTGAAGAAGGTAATGCAGCAACCAGAGCTCTCTGGCAGACTCATGCAATGGTCGGCGAAACTCAACTAGTTTGACATCTCCTACTGACCTTGAACAGCAATTAAGGGGCAGACTATCGCCGATTTCATCATGGAGTTTACTAATCTTACCCCAACCACGGCCCCTCCACCCCCACCAACCCCTACCGAGCCAGAAGACCCTCATTCTTGGACTCTTAACGTTGACGGATCATCCCGTAGAGAAGGCAACGGGGCTGGTCTCATCCTCACCGCCCCTGAGGGTGGTTATTTCAAATGTGCTCTCCGTTTCTTGTTCGATGCCAGTGACAATGAGGCTGAATATGACGCATTGATAGCAGGTCTCCGCCTAGCCAGGGACATTGGTGTCAGCCACATCCGGGTGTTCAGTGACTCCCAGCTCACTGTCAAACAAATTACGGGGGAATTCGATGCAAATGAGGACACAATGCGGGCTTACAGGGATATTGCACTTCCCTTTATTCGCCTCTTCAATACTTTCCGCATCCAGCACATCCCTCGGGCGGAAAACTCTAAGGCAGACGAGATGGCTCAGTTGGCTTCTGCAGACCAGTCCGACCTCAGCCGTGGTGTCCGTCTCGAGTACCTAGCCCACCCTGCCATTTCTCCCGACCAGCAAGAAGTACAGTTCCTCCAGAATGAGCCCATCCCTTGGGTGTCGGACATTTTTTTATTTTTGACAACGGGAGAACTTCCAGATGACCAACAGTAAGCCGCCAAAGTTAAGGCCCGGTCGTCCAATTACATCCTCGTCGGTGGTGTCTTGTACAAACGTGGTTTTTCACGCCCGTATCTGCGATGCCTCAATCTGGCTCAAGCAACCTATGTGATGCGAGAAATCCATGAGGGTATCTGCGGTAATCATTCAGGGGGCAGGTCACTAGCCCACAAAATACTTCGCACTGGTTATTTCTGGCCTACTCTCAACCAAGATGCGACTGACTTCGTACTCAAATGTGATAAGTGTCAACGCTTTGCCAACATCTCTCATGCTCCTCCTACAAAGCTGATCACACTTTGCAGTCCCTATCCATTCGCCAAATGGGGGATCGACTTAGTTGGACCACTTCCCACCGGCCGAGGCCAGACCAAGTTTGCGATTGTCGCCATTGATTACTTCACCAAATGGGTAGAGGCAGAATCCCTTGCCACCATTACCGAATGGAACACAACCAAATTCATCTGGCAGTCGATCGTATGCAGGTTTGGCATCCCTCAAGCCATCGTCTCCGACAACGGCAAATAATTCGATAATGCCAAGTACAGGAAGTTCTGTGCAGACCTCCAGATCCAACCCTGTTTCTCCTCCCCAGGTCATCCCCAAGCCAATGGCCAAGTCGAGGTTACCAACCGTTCTCTTCTGAAGATCATCAAAACTAAACTAGAAGCTGCTAAAGGACTTTGGGCTGAGGAATTACCGAATGTACTATGGGCTTACCGTACTACCGCTCGAACTCCCACTGGGGAGACCCCTTTTTGCTTAACATACGGCGCTAAGGCGGTCATCCCAGTGGAAGTCGGTCTGCCTACGCCAAGGGTTTTACATCCGAACCTAGAACTAGCCGAAGAGCTCCGTCGGGCTAACCTTGACCTAATGGAAGAGCTCAGAGAAACCACTGCTGTCAGACTGGCCTCCTACCAACAGAAAATGAGAACACATTACAACCGTAGAGTTCGACCAAGGGAGTTCGTCGTAGGGGACCTTGTTTTGCGAGAAGTAACTCTTGCTACCAAAAATCCGACTGAAGGCAAACTGGCAGCCAAATGGGAGGGACCTTACATTGTGAAAGCCAGACCATGACCGGGCACTTACCGACTTCAGGACATGGAGGTCGAGACCTCCTCTACCCTTGGAACGCTGAACATTTGAAGTGCTATTTTCAATAAAAGTTGTATTTTTGTATCGTCCAAAATGTTGTATTTTATTTTGGACAATCTATTTTCTCATTTTCTCCTCATATGGTGTAAATTTGTGACCCCATGGGCTACACTTTATATAACAGCAAGCTTATATCTCAACTATCTGTGGTATTCCAATAACGCTTTGATTGCAGCCTCAGCCAGACTGAGCATGAAGAGCTCGGCCAGACCGAGTCACAAAAAGCCTCAACTAGACTGAGCATGAAGAGCTCGGCCAGACCGAATCACAAAAGCCTCAGCCAGACTGAGCACAAAAAGCCTCAGCCAGACTGAGCATGAAGAGCTCGGCCAGACCGAGTCACAAAAAGTCTCAGTCAGACTGAGCATGAAGAGCTCGGCCAGACCGAGTCACAAAAATCTCAGCTAGACTGAGTACAAAAAGCCTCAGTCAGACTGAGCATCAAGAGCTCAGCCAGACCGAGTCACAAAAAGCCTCAGCCAGACTGAGCACAAAAAGACTCAGCCAGACTGAGCATGAAGAGCTCGTCCAGACCGAGTCACCTAAAGCCTCAGCCAGGCTGAGCACAAAAAGCCTCAGCTAGACTGAGCATGAAGAGCTCGGGCAGACCGAGTCACTTAAAGCCCCAGCCAGGCCGAAGCCACCATTGCGACTTCATGATCATAAGCACAGTGGCCATATTTTCTCACACTCACTCTGCATTGAATTTTTCTTACAAGTTAAAATTCCCTCTGCATTGAGTTTTTCTCACACCCACTCTGCATTGAATTTTTCTTATAAGTTAAAATTCACTCTGCATTGAGTTTTTCTCACTTTCACTCTGCGTTGAATTTTTCTTACAAGTTAAAATTCCCTCTGCATTGAGTTTTTCTCACACTTACTCTGCGTTGAATTTTTCTTACAAGTTAAAATTCACTCTGCATTGAGTTTTTCTCACACTCACTCCGCGTTGAATTTTTCTTACAAGTTAAAATTCCCTCTGCATTGAGTTTTTCTCACACTCACTTTGCATTGAATTTTTCTTACAAGTTAAAATTCACTCTGCATTGAGTTTTTCTCACTTTCACTCTGCGTTGAATTTTTCTTATAAGTTAAAATTCACTTTACATTGAGTTTTCCTTACATTTTACACTTCACAATAATTTATACATAAGCCTTATACAAGTTGCCATTCTTATTCATTTCAGATGCACAAGCAAAAATAATGAACTGAAAACACAACTCAAATTTTATTTATTCACAAAACTTGTACATACGTTCTTTACAGCAATCCAAAAAAAAAAAAAAAAAAAAAAAAAACTTGTACAACTCGCACGCTGGAAGCTCTCAATAACTTCTGCTTAAACGAGGTCTTCTTGTTTAACGCCCTCATCTAGGGGGGTTTGGGCCACGTCATCTTCATCAATCCGTACACCACTCAGGTCCAAGTTTGGGAACAGTTCTTCTGCCTTCCGCTTGAACATCTTCCAGCCACTGTCCCAGAACTTAGCCATTTCGTGTTTGTAGAAGTTCGACCGCTGGAAGCTCTCAATAACTTCTGCTTCAGTCCTGTCCCTAACGGTCGTTCCTGACGGGCCCGCCTCCCTAGACACCTCCCTTGCTAAGTTGCTGGCGACCGCGGCATCGATTGCCATCTGAAATTCAGCAGACCCCTTGAATTGCTCCACTGCTGCGACATACAGATTGGGGTATGCTGCTCTTTCAGAGGTGGCCTTGATTTTTTCATCCTCCAGTTCCTTCTGCAACCTTGCCTTCTCCTCCATTGTCCTAGCACGCTCGTCCTCCAGCTCCTTCTGCAGCCCAGCAATCTTCACGTCTGCTTCATCTTTCTCTTTAATCTGCTGGGCGCGCAGTTCTTCATTGTTGATCATTGCCTCTTCAAACCGCTCAGTGGCGACCGTGCAGGCATTTTGAGCATCCCTCAGCTTCTTCTGATCGCCAGCCAGCTGGAACTCGAGCAACACTACCTTGCGGCGTTCGTCCTCTAGCTCTAACCCGACCGCCAGCAGCTCAGCATGGGCACGATCGGCAATATTGCCCTGCACGATCGCCAATACTTCCATCTTTTTTGCTTTCTCAGCCTTCTGCTAACCCCTGGCACACGCGCTTCGCGCAGCCCTCTCCAGCTTGCACTCTCCTTCTTGAAACTTGTAAGCTGGGCCTTAGCATCCTCCGACTTGACCTTCGCAGCCGCCGCCTTTCTCAGTAGAGCCCCTGCTAAGGTCGTTACCTCCATTTGGGCAGAGCACAACCGCTTTAGCAGCTCAGCCTCATTGAACCTGGCCACCGAGCGCACGGCTGCGTCCTCCACAATCCCCACAAGGTGATCTGCAGCTGCCCTGGCTGGGCCTTCTTCTCCCTCTAGTCGCCCAGCCACTGCACGAGCATGGTAGATAGCAGTCGTCAGCCTGGCCCCTTCTCCTTGGGGCGCAGGCGCCCCCTTTGGCTGCTGCTCCATCACTTCCTTAGGACCAGCTGACCTACTCTCCACCGGCACTTTAGGCATGGCACTCATGTGCTCTTCTTCCTCCTGGCCCCCTTGGCCTTTGTCCCCTTCCATGTTTGGGACAACCACACTTTTTGGGGTCTCCTCTACTCCCTTCTCCCTTATTGCGGCCGACTCCTCCATGGGGGTAACCTCCTCCCCAACCCTCACCCTCTTCAACCCAAGCTCACCTGAGGCCCCCTTAGGGTGAACCCTCATTTTCTTCTTTTTCTTCAAAGTCTCCGCCTCCCTGCTTGCCCTTTCCTTCACTAGATCCACGGGGGGCGGTTGTGGCTCAAAACTGCCCAAGTCTTTTTCCCCCAGTGGCTTGGGGCGCGGTCGGATTCTCTCCGACTGGTTTTGGTGGTGGGCCTAACTGCACCTCCTTGAATTTTTGGGCTCTGGAAAAAATTGTCCGATCTTTCGCCTCCTGCGCCTTTCTTCTTGCCTCTAGTTTTTCCGGTGCCAGATTTCCACCGGTCGGTTGAAGGCCCAATCCTGCGGCAAACAAAGCGGACGGCTGGACGAGATCGTCCCACTTGACGCCCTCTTTCTCCCTCCAGGCCTTCACCTTTTTCACCCTCTCCTCCACTGCGGCCCCCAACTTTGGCTCTACAGACTTAGAAGGCACCCTCCATACCGTGCGCACCCCCCCTTCCCCGTTCGCAGACACGTAGAACCACCGCGGCCTCCATCCCATCGTTTCACCTCTGGCCCAATGCCTAACCTTCCCCACCACGAGATGATGCCACGTGTACGACCACGATTCACTGCACCCTTCCCCCACCCTGTATTTTCCACTTCAAGTCATCACGTGACCCGCCACCTCTCGAGCCCCACCTCTGCCACTTCCACATTCGTGGTCGGCCCACCTCATGGTCGGCCACTCCACTCGGTTACCCCTCGCGGTCGGCCCTCCTCATGGTCGGCCACTTCACTCGGTTACCCCTCACAGTCAGCCCTCCTCATGGTCGGTTACCCCACTCAGCTACCCTTCGCCGTCGGCCCTCCTTGTGGTCGGTCCATCCACTCGGCGAACCCCCGCGGTCGGCTCTCCTCCTGATCAGCCCCCACGCTCGATCACTCCTATCGGTTGGCCCCTCTCTCGCAGATCTCTAACCACCCTCATTTTCTTCACTATTCCCTTCGTTGGACTATAGCTGCACTCGGGAATGGGGGACTACTGACATGGGTAGGCCCATAAAGGCTACAGCCCACCATGAACAACTCAAGCCCACCACTTAGGGCCCAATACATAACCCAACTTATAAGCCCCAGCACAGCTGGAAGTCAACATGACATGAAGGACCAATGATATTCAGACACGTAGCGGGTAAAGGGCAAGCCACATCAGCAGACAAAGATCTGTAAAGTTATTGCCACTGCATATCACCATTAATGCAGCCCCTCACAGCATTTATTACGACAACACCTCTCCGTCGAGACAGCACGCTCTCACCCTGAACAAGGTAAGTTACAACATAGACTTTTGGCCAAGGTGACAGGTCAGACGGGACAACGAAATGATTACCAAAGGATATAAATAGACGTTGAAGACAAGAAGAAGGCTAAGTTTTTCTATCTTTGATCCATATCTCTACATTCCACTTCTCTCTCTAACTTGCTCGTCGGAGGGTTCGCTGGGGGACACCCCGTTCCGCATTGAACTCTTGTGCAGGTTCTCAGGTGGGCTTGACCACTTGGATATTGGCTCGAGAAGCGTGGATCAGTCCGACCCGTTCTACCAGGAACCCGTTGTATCATAACTGTATCATCAGTATCAAATATCGTATGTCACATCATTTAATTCAAACTCAATTTAAAACTCATAACCAAACAAATTTTCTACACTCAAATCATAATTCCCACTTACAAACTCAAAATACAATTTTATTCTCAAATCATAATTCTAAAACTCTACCAAACATTATCTCTAAAACTCTACCAAACATTACCTTAAACTCTTTTTCCAAATTTTTTTTTTTGAAAATTTATCTCCCAAAACCAAACCAAACACACCCTTAATAGTTTGATTATTAATTTTTGTTTTCATTCTACACACCAATTATACCAATCATGCCCTTAACTCATATGTTGTACACACGCCTTGATCCTGAATTGCAGCGTTTTTTGTGGTTGGCTCTCGAAGGTAGAGATGATCACGAGAACAAACACCTAAAAGATGATCTTGATTAGGGTGATCAAGATGCAGAAACTAATGATCATGATAAATTTGAGGAAAATTACGTTGTGCGTGGGATTGTAGGGCAATATACGAAGTGCAAGAGGGCTCTGCAAAGAGGATGAAACAATGCCTGGGTCATGAAGATATTAGTTTAGGGAATTCCTTGAATTCTTTAAACTGTACTTTCAATTTTCTCCCACAAAATACTCAAGCTGACATGAATCAAGTGTTTAAACATTGTTCACTTCAATTAGAAGAATAGAAGCTACAAATTCAGGCACAAATGTTGGAACTGAAGAAAAGGAGGTTCGAGTGGCAAAAATTTTGCAGGAAAGGAAACTGGGAGTTGGAAATGATGAGGATCGTAAATGAGAGAATGAAATTTGACAAAATGCACATGGAATTGGATTTGAAGCGAAAGGAGATGGATGCTAATGATGATGAAGCTAGAGTTTAGTTTTTTTCTTTATTCAAAAAGTGTATATTGAAATTTTTATTTTTATTTTTAAAAAATGTGTGCAGAGAATACTTTTATATAATATTATGGGTGTTATAGTCATTTTAATTTAGAATATAATTATCATTAAAATAATATTTCATTAAATGTGTGCAGTAAGGTAACTAGGCGTATAAAAATAGAATTTCCTTTATTTTGTTGTGTAAATAGAATTACCCTTTTAAAAATTATGATAAATTAAAAATATATTCTTTGAAGTTTTCTTAAAATACGGATTGCTCTCTATGGTTTGGAAAATTATAAATACCTCATTGTAAGAATTTTTTATTTAACAGAATTAATTTAAAAAATGAAATTTTTAGCTGCTCTTTTATATAGTAATAAAATTACTTGAATTATAATTGAAATATATTTTTAATATCATTAAAAACTGTTAATTGATTTGATAATTTATTATTAAAAGGAGCCATTTGTTATGAAATTAAAAATTTCAATGGGTGAGATGTAATTTCAAAACTATAGGAGACAATTTGTATTTTAAGCAAATTTGAGAGGGTGTATTTGTAATTTATCTTTAAAATTATTTTTAATTTTTAATTGTTTGAGGGTTTTTTTGTTGAACATTTTATAAATTTTAGTCAATTTTTTTTTTTTTTTTGATATGCCCCTAAAATGTATTTAAAAATTAAAATATGAGTGAAATTTTTTATTTAAATAATGAGATAGTTATAGCAAAACATAAAAGCAAAAAAGTGTTCACAATTATATGCATAAATATTTTACCTTTTATTAGATACTTGAAAAACACAAAACAATAATGATACAGACCACTAAAACATCACCACTAACATCACCACTAATGATGTGGCAAGCCAAAAAAAAACAAAAAAAACAAAAAACTAAGACACAAAACACATGTGGCAGTGGGTGGGACCCACTGCCACATCCCTAGTGCAACCACTAATTAGTGGTCTGCATCATTTTTCAACACAAAATTAGAAAATAATTTTTGAAAACCGAACTTAAGAAGCTGATAGATTCCAAAAAGTAGATTTGATCTAAATAAGTTTATTTTTTGATTTTTTATAAAATATGAGTTGGGTATGAGTTAGGTTTGAAGTGATATGATAGAGAGGTGATGTGACTTAAATAAGATAATATGCTTTAAATAGGATAATGACTTTTTAACTTTTTGACTTTTTTAAATTAGGACAAACAAGGCCTAAATAGAGTTGTTAATGGTTGTTATTTGTTTTTATTTTTTTTGCTTTATATATAAAATAATAGGGTAAATTATAAATATATATTAAAATTTGCTTAAAATACAAATTATTCCCTATAGTTTAGAAATTTATTAAAATACAAATTATTCCCTATAGTTTTGAAATTTGCAAATACTCTATTATCAGAATTTTTAATTTAACATAATTAATAGGAAAAATAAAATTTCTGACCACTCTCTTATTTAACAATAAAATTATTTGAATTATTAATTAAAATATATTTTTAATATCATTAAAAATTATTAATTAACTTGATGATTTTTTTAATAAAAATGATAATTTATAACGCGATTAGAAACTTGAACGAACATGATATAATTTATAGAATCACAGAAAATAATCTGTATTTTAGACAAATTTCAAAACATATATTTTCAATTTATCCAAAATAATAGCACGAGCATCTCCAATTCACTAGGCATATAATGCTTGTTAGTCAAAATGCCTAATGTGACTCACTTTTTTCAACTTCAAGGCTAAGTAAAATGTATTTAATCATTAGGATTATTTCCCTCCATCTTTGTTGCTGACGCGACATTCTATAAAGTTAATAGTATTTGGATGAATAGCTAAAATAAAGAGTATGGTTAGAGTAAAAATATGAAACAGTTGATAAGTAAAATAAAATGTATACTTTATAGTAATTTTTAATTAAGTAAATTACCTACTACCGTTGGAGATGCTCGACAATTTGAAAAGCTAACCTATTTGAGTACATCAAGTACAAAAGAACTTCCAAAGAGGAGAAAGAAACTCCTCACGTGGAGGAAATTCAAATCAGAAAGAATCCAAACCTTCCTAAATATTCTACACGCTCCCTTCTACAAACTCATATTAAAACAAAACACCAACCAAACGCCACCAAAACCTTCTACAAACTCCCTTGCATTGCTACCAAACATACTACACACTCCCTTCTACCACTACATAGAGTTGAAGGAATTTTTATTTATTTATTTTTAATCCTCTTTTTGGGTCAAATCACTATAGTATTAGAGTAACAGAGGCATTGTAAATTAGAAAATGCAGAACGTGCAAGGCACGTACAATTGGGTAATACAAATAATAACAATGATAAATTCTGGAGAGATGCTAGAATATGTATCACTAAAAAGGCACACATCATAAAAAGTTATAACTTTTGTGATCAAAGGTACTATTTATTATAATAAAACTTACGATTTTTATGATGAAAGTTATATTTTTGGTAGTAAGAAAAAATTATATATATATTTTTGTGATGAGAAAAAAGCAATACATTTTGTGATTAAAGTTATACTTTTTATATTAAGCC